CTGAGCAAAGACGACTTGAGATTAAGCGACCTGCTCAGCTGTCTCTATCTTTTCAGCCCAGAGGTGCAAGGGGTAAGAGCAGTAGTTAATATCAACCGTGCTATTAGCTGAGTATACGAAGATGCACCACACTTAACCCGCGATCAACAGTGTGCATCGCTTACTCCCATAATTAATAACTAATTAATATAACCATACATAGACGCATGCACAGAATATGTACATACCTCCCTATGCGAGCTGATAGTCCGGTTCCGACCTATATATGCTATATGTAGTTAATTATAAACGGTCAATCTCTTACCTTCTTCTATACTTGGTTCGCTAACGAGCGGTTCCGAACCCCCATGCTGCAAAGCAGGCCGTGGGTTACAAAAAACGAGCCATTGAAGCGGGAGTAACTATGGACGAGCCGTCTATCGCATCGTGCACATGATTATCCGTGTGATGATTATCTGACTGGCCTCACGATGGAGAAAAACAGCTGCCGGGCCACGACATACACGAGCCTGGATGCGGTGCTCCAGCGTCTGTCTCCTTTTGCTTCCAAAAAAATGCATTGCATTATTGTGTCGAGGTGACTTTGTACCCCCGTACCACTTGTACTATGCAAATTGCGACATACAAGGCCAGAGGCGAAGTACATAAGCGAGCCCAGCCAGGTTAAGTTACATTTTTTCTTTTTCACCTAACATGCCGAAGAGCTCTCTTACTCCGATGCCCGGAACATTTCTGGAGAAGCTTGCATGGACGGCTTCTCTTGCCTGGCAAGGGACGGCAGGAATATTGAATTCGATGTACAACAACCCGGAAAATGTGCCGCTCGTTCATGCCGTCTCGTCCAGAACCAACAGTTCGAGGCATTGAATATTTGCATGTGGAGGTCAAGCTGGGAATAATGAATAATAATGATGGCGAACATGGCCGGAGGGCGAGAAAAGATGAAAAATCTCAGCCGGGGGGGGGTCACCAAAAATACCCCCCAACATCACGAGCCGATTGCCTTAGCCTTGATATATCAGGTAAGCTTAATAATGCTAACCGGTCTGGATGCCTGTCAAATGCCAGAAAGACAAAAAAAAAAAATGTCGATGGCAGCCGAGGGATGGGGGATTATCCTGGAGGCTTTAGGGCTTAAGAGGCAGGCGACTATTATTGCCAGGAAGCCAGCAAGTCAGCGAGTCGCCGTTTCGTTGCCTTGCTCGGAAGCAAGCCCAATTCGACCAGCTCACTGAAGAAGATGCTGAGAGATCCTGGTTACATCTCTGACGCCTTACGTCAAACGTCCATCGAGCCCACCGAGGTTGGCATCGAGCGTGTGCGATGCAAGCCCTTTTCCCAGCCCGCTTTCTGATCTCGATACGATTGATCAAGCATCTCCTGTGAACATTCGGAGTCTAATAATAATAATATTTTTGCCTTCCTTGTGTGCGTTCGAACACGAGAGAGCAAGAACGCAGGCCGACGGTCTAGATGGTGCCGGACCAGTGTTACGGAGTGTCGATGCAAATAGTAATGGAGTCGCAAGATGGAGCATGAGCATGGATGGGGCGGACGGGGTACATGGGGGGAATTGGAGTCCGATCCAGTCCCAGCCGCCCACGTCCACACAGATATCTGTATGCACTTGCTGTGCTGTGCTGGTAACATGGCAGCATCACCGTCATCAGTCGAAAAAGGGAGACAACGATGACGGGTTCGGTCGTAGTCTGACGAACAGGCAGTGCGGGTGCGTGGCCCGGCTGCGGCATGCTGTGACTGTGGACTGCGAACGTCATGTCATGGGATGGTGGCCATCGATGGCAGGCTTTTCTCGACTTCTCATACGCAGACAGACAGGCAGGCCAGGGCAGGGCAGGCAGGCCTGAGTTTGACACATGATGGCGCACCGAGAACTCCGTATATACGAAGGGGGATCCTGAGATCGATGCCTAGGTTAGGGCTGGCACAGGAAATAAGCGACTGCAGAGTAACTTTGCGTACTCCGTATATACTCCAGCAGAGAGATACACTCCAGTCGAGTGAAAAGACGAAGAAGAAAAAAATAAAAAATAAGAAAAAGAATATAATAATATCGGGGGAAAGAAACGAATCAGGGAGTTGGTCTCGTTTGCGACACAGGCTGCTTCTGCTTCTGCTTCTGCTTCTCTCTTGTCCAGTCGATCCTGCAGCGAAAGTGCCAGAGAGATGCACCCCTTACTCCCGCCCATTCCGAGTGATTAGAGAGTAATAATAGTAAACTATTCCTTCATGTGCGTGACGAGTTGTATTTTTTGGTCCAGAAGTCCGTCGATGAGCTATGTGATGACGACTTCAGGCATCGACATCGGCCCTTTTGCCTCGTATCCAGCCACGGATAAGGGCGGACTGAGCTTCATCCTTGACGCAGGAACAGCTGTTGAAAAGTCTATCAGCTTCAGCTTTTCTTCTTCTTCCTCTCGGATGGATGAGCAGAGGAAGTCCTCTGTACTTAGAAAGGAAGAAAAAAAGCAAAGAAGAAAGAGCCGGAGGGTTGTTCTTGTCTTGATCCGCAGCGGAGGCAGAGCCAAAGTAAACAATCCAACGGTTTCCTTTGCATTCTTCACTCTCTTTCATATTCTCTCCTCCCTTCTCTTCTTTGTTTTTTTATCCTCTCTCTCTCTCTCTCTCTCTCTTCTTTCTTCTCTGTCGTTGTCTTTTTTTCGTTTTGTTCTTCTTTTTATGCTTCCTTTCTTTTTCATGCCAGACCCTCCCTCCCCCGGCTGCGAGTAGGAAGATTTCCCTTGGGCGCCGGAGGTGAAGCCCCTGGTTCCATAGCGGGCGCCGTTTCTTTACCCAGTAAACCTTTTTTTTTTTTTTTTTTTTTCTTTCTTTCTCCTTTCTTTCTTAAAATCCCTTCACCTTTTTAACTCCTCATTCTCATTTTCTCACAGTCGTATTGGCGGATTTTTGGCCTCTTATATCCATCCTCAAGGGGTGGAGCCACGTTTCGGGCCATTTTTCGCTCAGAAAGCAGTTAGTATATAAAAATTTTTTGACTTTTTTTTTTCCTTTTTGCTTTGCCTCAACCTTGGTTCGGCCATCGTGGAACCAGCAAGTCTTTGGGAAAAGAAAGGCAAAGAAGGAAAAAGAAAAGAAGCCCGCAGCAGCAAGTAGCAAGCAGCAAGCAGAGAGAGAGAGAGCAGAAGTAGAGGTGAATCTTGGATCTTGAAGCTGCTCGTCATGGCCCTGACAGACTGACGGGTTTTGCTGGGTGGGACATGAATATTTGCTTATTGCATGGGAACAGGCCAGGGAGGCAGGGAGGCAGGCAGTCTGGTCTGTTCGACGATGCCTAGATACACAGCAGCCCGTAAGAGTTATGTTATACTGAGCTCAGGAAAAGGAAAGTAACCTGAGTTGCGCACCCCCCTTCACGTCGAGCCGTCCGTCTGTATCAATTGAGTCAACAAGCAAGCCAGCAGGACCCGGGAGCAGGTCGAAACCGCACGAAACGAGGGGGGATACAGCCGGCGAGCACCCTGCCTGTCTCTGCACGACCATGGCTTGTTTGATAGCATCTGCTTCCTTCTGGGAGGCAGATGAAAAAGCTCTTAATCCCTCCCGCCTCCCCTGGCCAGGCCGTAGATTCTTAGTTTATCTTGTAGTGTAGGCCCTAAGCAGCTGAGAGCTAAGTATATATTAGCATATGAAAGAAGCCTCCGGAGCATCAGCAAGCAGAACCAGAAACCACAAAGCGGACCAGGAACCAGAATAACGGTGAGTTTCTTAGTCAGGGCAGTCTTCTCTTCGTCTTCGTCTTCGTCTTTCTCTTTCTGTCTTGCATCTCTCTCTCTCTTTCTGTTCGCGATGACGGCCTTGCTGTGAGCATCCCCGGCCATGTCACTTCTGTGTCCCCCAGCACTAGCATTATCACCAGCACCAGCACCAGCACCAGCACCGTCTCTCTGCCTGTGACTCTGCCTGTGTCTCGCCTCTCTGGCTGTCTTCTGGCCTGGAGACCCGCCCCGAGAAGCTCGCTGGCCGTCTGTAAGTGGCTCCCAGCCCGTCTGGAGTCTCTCGTTTCTTTTCTTTGCTTCTCGACCGCACACAACCCACGTCAGGCCCTCTTGTTGCCCGACAGTTCGTCCCCGGGGAAGCAGACGAGCCCGTCTTCCCGCCGTGAGTGGCCCTGGGGCTGCGAATAAACAGCAGCAGCAGCAGAAGAAGAAGAAGAAGAAGAAGAGTCCCTCCCCTGTCGCGTGCTTTGGTGCCTCTTGACTCTGCCTCCTCCCTGCTGTCTGCTGTCTGCCCAATTGCACTTGCACCAGTCGAAAGAGACTCTGCAGCCTCTCTCACCCTCGTCCTCGCCCTCGCCCTGTCCTGTCCTCCCTCTTTTTTTTTGCCCTCGCCTGCCTTGCTGAACTGCTGGCTGAACCCCCCCCGGCCGTGGTTGTGGTTGTTGTTTGTTGCTTGCAGCCTGCGCGCACTTCCAAGTCCGCCGTCCAAAATCCTGCTACAGACCTCGCCTTCACCAACATCAGCTTGACCTTCAACTGCAGCTTCAACTTCGTCTCCAGCAAGAAAACCCCCCCGCCGCCGCCGCCGTTCGCTGCCTGCTACAGCCAGTCGCCAGCTCCAGACAGCTTCTCTGCCTGCCCGCGACTACCGCTGCATCCTCCCCCAGGCCGATCGTTGCGCCTTTCCCTCCGCGCTGCATGAGCTTCCATTCCCTCGCCCGCGACTGGCCCTCCCAATCATCCCTCGACACAAACAATACGTCTGGCCATACAGGCTCTGCTATGAAGTAGAGGCCTCGTCTGCCTGAGTGCTGTCGACCAGAGAATAATAAATATTTCGCGTGCTGGCTGCTGAGAAGACTCACGACTCGCAACCTCGCAACCTCACAGCTAGCAACTCGCTATGCTGCGACTATCACAGCTCTTCGAAGCCAGCAACCGGCGCGACGGCGACGCAGCAGACATCGCAGCCCCGTCCTCCCATCCCTCGTCCTGTCTCGCAAGGCCGCCGCCGCCGCCTGAATCGCCTGAATCGCCCGAATCCATGATCTCCTCGAACCCGGGGTCGCCCGTCACCTCGCTCTTCTCGACCAGGACGCACACCCGCTTCCCCAGCTCGGTCTCGTCGCTGGCCTCCTCGCCCGTCACCAGCTCGCCCGACGGCTTCGGTGGCACCAAGACGCAGCTGACGGAGGTCAAGGAAGAGCCCGGCGAGCGAGAGACCGGCTGTGTCGAGAGAGATGGTTACTTTCGTAAGTCGCTGCCCCTGCTATCTACATCTACGTTACTCTACATTCTGCTACATCTTCTCTAGTTGCCAAAGGGTGAAGGGAAGAAAAAAAGAAACGAGACGCAGTCAAGAGCAAACAAGATGCTAACGTCAGAGGCTTAGCTCACTTTAATGACTTCCATGCCGCCGCTGCCGCCGCCGCATACGACGACAGCCATCTCTCGCTGGACTCGCACGACTTCGACCAGATAGACACCCTCGACGCCGTGGGCGCCTTCAAGAAGCGGAGGTCGGACAGCAGGTCGCTGCGCCAGATATCCCGCATCAGCACCCGCTTCTCCTCGCTCTCGTCCAAATGGAAGCAGACCAAGCCCTCGTCGATCGCAGATACAGTCGCTACGCGCGATCGGTACGAAGACTCTCTCAGGTCTCGCGCCAATTCAGCCACTTCCGCCCTCGCCAGCCCGGCCGCCAGCTTGATATCCGCCCGCCAGAGCCTCTGTGCCCCCTCGCCGGCTAGGACGACGTTCGAGGAACGCCTGAACGAGGCTGGCGTGGCCGGCCTCGACATCGAACGGGCGAACCAGCAGTTCGACGGAGAGCCAGAGAGGCATGTCCGGACGCCGCTGCTCCCACCGGTCATGATGGACCTGCCACACATCGACAAGGACCAGCATATCGACTCCCCGCTGGAGTCCCCGTCCATTGCTCCCGTGGCAGACTCTCGGGACACCGACAGCCCGCCCATCACCTCCATAAGCGACGTTATGCCGCCGACCTCGCCGGTGTCGCCCATTACCTCTGCTCATCCCTCCATGTCCTCCATCAGCCGCCAGCTGGCCATGTCTCGCCTCTACTCGACCCGCATGGCCATGTCTGACTCCGTGGACGAGTGGTCCTGCAAGCTGGGACACGCAAACTTCACCATCTACCCCGAGCCATACGTTCCCGAGATCTGTGACAGGGAGGCCCTGAACAACTTCCGTGCCAACTGGGAGCTTGCTCGCTGCAACTACGCAAAACACCTTGCACGGACTGATGAACACTACGGCTCCACCTCGCATATATACAAACTCACCGAAGAGAAGTGGGTATCCGTCAACAGCCAGTGGAAGAACGGCTACAACCATGTCATCGCCAACCTCGAGGACGGCAACGGTAACCGTCTCTCTCTCAGCCCGTCAGAGATGCTCCACTGCTCCCAGGACGCCGTCAAGATACCTGGCCTTCACGACAAGAACAAGTTCCCGGAACTCGGAGACGAAGACATCGTCGGTCCCATGTCTGTCGGGCCCGGTCTACAACACTGCCGATCCAGTGACGATAGGATCCTCTCCAAAAAGTCCATCCTCAAGTTCTTGAACGGTCTCTTTAGCCTCCGCAAGAGCTCATAACCACCACCCCGCGCCCACTTTCTACTCTCTATCCCCCTATTCATTCTCCTGTACAAAAATACCCCCTTCCCTTATCCTACCACCTCTATCTTACCCTATTTACCCGATATTTTCCATTTGTTCTGATTTGCTGCGGTACCTGCATGCAATTCATAGTCGTCTCCCACCATATCCGAGCTGGGCTAGAAAGGACGACTGGAGTTAAGATGTCTTGCTTGTGTTTTTTACTTTTTTCTTTTTTACGGTTCTTATTCCCCCTTCCACCATAGTTGGTTTGCTCATCCTCTCCTTATATCTCAGCATCAGATCATGAATCATGCGTTACGCTCCTTATGACCCCCTATTGCATCCATCGAGGAACTCCGTATTCTATATATGCTCCATCATGGATGAACGACGCTCTTTATCCAGACTCTCATTTGTCATGACACTCATTTAAGCCAATGTTTTTACTTGCGGCGTTTAAAAAAAAAGGGCTCTAGCCTTCCCTTAGCCCTCCTTGTTATCCCGATGCATCCTTTGCTTTTTTTTTTCTATCTCTCTTCCATTCAGCCCATTTGTTTATCATACGTTATAGAGGATATACATAGAAACCGGCTCCCCCCATGGCTTTTCCTATATTTCTTTTTCATTCTTATCATCATCATTTATGGTCACGGTTCACGGCGCGAGGGCTACGGCGCCGGTGGGATCTCGTGGAACTACCAATTTTCCTACTACCATCTATCTACCAGGTTTCACTCTTATACTTTTCCTTGTTTGCATCTCTTTCACATCATCTGGTATTCTCCTTAACGAAGAAGTCGACCAACAAGAAAAGAAGGGCAAGGCGGTTGGCCGTATGGATTGATATGCAGGCTGCCGTGCCAAAGAGAAAAGCAGAAACCCCCTTATGACGGAGTACAAGATACGACATCCTTCCCGCTGTTTTTCTGGGGAAGGACATGCAGCTTTCCTTCTTCCGTTTCTTCTCTTCTTCTCCCGATATATCAAAAAAAAACTACTCTATATCCATCGTCTTCCTCCATCGACCTCTCTTCTAATGTTTAACATACTAATCCCGTCCCGTTCGTTTCATCAATGGACGGACACCCGCCCCCTATTCTACCTTTCCATCTACCTACCTATCTGCCTTTAGGTATCGATTGTTTCATTATGCATCCTTTACTATGTTTCAGCCAGCATGTAGCAAGCCGTTGTTGACTAGCTCAGCATATTCCCATTGCATACTCAACATTGATACATTTCTCTTCTGTTTGTCTTAATATACATACCTATACCTATACCTATACCTATACCTATACCCCGTGCACACCTCCATCTCATTATATCCATTCCTCTTACCGTCCCTATGTGCTCTCCAGATGTATCGTTGCATGTATGTAACCACGCACACCCACACGCTCCTTCAAGAGATCCTTATGTTCCATATACCCTGTTCCGCGCTGCATTGCTGGCAAACGCACCACCATAATCCAAAGAGCCTTATATATATATATAGACGAATAGAAATGA